TGTAGATATGAAAAGAACAAAATACGATTATAAACGTTTTATTATTTCACTGAACCATTTAAAAAGGATTCTGTGAAAAATGTCGACATTTGGAGATAACATTCGTTTCATATTGATGCATTTTGCTGCGGTACTAGAATTTGTGACATTCGCGAGATAGATGATAATCGCGTATGGCACTAGATGTTAACCACACGACATCACGAATAGGCTAAAGTCTGAAATGTCCACTAGTCATTCACATGAAAGTTGGCAAAAACGTCAAGACTAAAAACTAAATAAAGCACATTTACATTGATGTTTACTTTAAAATGCTTGTCCCTATTTCAAACTCCCAGCATTCAGTCATACAGTTACATGTTGGTTTTCAAACTATGTATGAAATAATTTGCAAAATGTGAAAATATCTCATTATATGTTTATAGTTATCGAGGTAATAAATATTGTCGGAATCTAACTTGTATCAATAAAATGTCAGTTTTAATTATTAAAATAGTGTGTTTATGGAAAGGACACTTGGTAATCAGCTATTATTCATTTTTGTATTCCGACTAGCTAATCAGATAATCAAAAACTTAATTTCTTAAGTGCTTGACAGCACCACTGCCAATTAACTACTCAACGGATAGTAAAAGTGAGGGACAAAGTAAGAAATGTAAAATATAAAGTAACATTTAAAGTTTATTATGAACTGCAATTCGTATCTTCAGATAACTATACAAAATTACTGATTTGTGGAGAGACATTTTCATACTACTAATAAAACAAGTATAACATATATGATATTAACCTGTGTTTAAAGATAATTTTCTATAGATCAGTAACCTACTGGGTTAAATACTTGCTACCATTCCCATAAATTCAGGTGAATTGTTTCAGTGACCTTACCTTTGAGCTGAAGAAATGAATTGTGATTAAATCATTCTTAGATGGAATAGTTCCGCGAATCCATTACCAAGATAAATATTACAAAGCAAATGCAATGCATATTAGTACAATGACTGTCAATAACTTAGAGTTGTATATTACTCTGATATATTTTCTAACCATTTTGCCAAACGAAAAACAATATAATTGTTTTCTCAGTAATGTCAGAACTATTTTTCTTCACAAATGTTGTTATTTTGTTAGATACCTAGTTTTAGAACCTATAAAACTTTTGAAGTGTTTAAATAATTATCTAATCCAAATTAAAAGAGTTTTAAAGTTTTTTCTCTCTTAACTAGTTTTTTACAGAAATGCTTTCTTATTATTATGCGAAATGCGATTGAACCACTTGTATCAGGTTCTATATCTAATATACTGATAATCTGATTAGATTATGAATTGGAAAAGAAAATTAATATAAATTAACGCATTAGTCTATATCCCACATCATAAACAATTATTTTATGAGTTTATTGTCTACTGAACACACTACTGTTTACCTTGTACTTTATCATAACTAACATTTCTACAAACTTTTGGAAAATCTTTCCAAGTTACAGTTAGGAAATTTGAAATTCCTTTCATTCTTTTGTGATATTGTTGATTTTTATTGATTTCAAGAGAAAAAGAAATCCATTTTAGTTAGTTGGCTATTTGATAAACGGAACCGTCTTAGCGGTTGTTCATATGCCAAATATTATCGTGACGATTAATAGAATAATTATTAGATGTGTAAATTATTGTCTAGTGGAACTTAGTAATCTAGACATAATTATCAACACAATGGGGCCTTTGTTTAAGTTTTCTATGAACGGTGACTAATGATTTTTCATTAGTCATAAATAAAATATTTATTATTATTATTACTATAAAATGATCGCTCACTAAAAATAAAACAAAATCATTCACTCTTGTTATCTATGTCGACTAAACTGTGTCTATCAAATATATAGCTTAACCATGCAAACATTTTGGTATGTTTGTTAATAATTATAAATGTAAATTGCTGTTTATTATTTGAGGCCGGTTGTTTTCTATATAAAAATTCCAATAGGTAAAATAAAATCAATGCATGAAATAAGCCTGATTTCTTATATTTAAGTGTATATGTAATCCTAACTCTAACCAAAATAATTTTTATTCACCATTTGATAGAATTTATCACTGAAACCCTCAACATAATTTTCAGTAGTATATCTATTTATTTGATCATAACAGAAGATAATAAGTATTACCAACAAGGTTTTAGTAGATAGTTTCAAATAGATTAAACATTGCATGAGTTGTTGATAACAATAAAATAATAATATATTTGTAAAAGATGTAAAAGTGAATTTCTGACATTTCATAGCCTAATTTAAGTTGCTTCTTTAGTGAATAAACTAACACTATATAAATTCGTATTTATTCAGTTTGGTCTATCATTTATGCTGTGAAGCGGTGATTAAAACTAGGCCGACAAAATTCGGCTATTCTTATCATTTGGATATTATTTTTTTTAATTATTAATATGTTTTCATCATAGACAATATTAAATTTAGATTACGAAGTCATCAATAATGCAGAATTAAGCTAAGATATTCGAATATTTGATTGTTTAAAAGAATTACAGTCGATACGATAAAAATGTAGTACGTATATTAATGAAGAGTGTTCTGATTCTCTTTGAACTCCTAGTCTTACATACTTTCTTTATAGAGTGATATAATCACTTTGGAATTGTTCTTTATTTATCATCATTCTCTTTTTAGATGATATGTTTTCTAGCCAATATCATGTGTGGATTATACAAGCATAGAGCTGATGAATTCAGAGTATCACGTGTTTATCTAAAATTGAAAGTCAGCTATGTGATAGGAAAACATTTGTTTTTACTTAAGTACAATCGTTTAAATTCACTCTAGAATGTTATTCAACTTGCTAGTCAAATGTTATTGTGCTAATAGTTTGTTTGTCAAAGGTTATAATTTCGATTTTTCAGTCTAACAATATTTATTCACAATTACAGTACAGTTTCGAACCACTGAAAAAATAAATTTTAACATAATAACATCAGAATTTAATTACATTATTCAGCATACATAGTTCATAAAAATATATCTTTTTTTAATCTTGAAACCGTTAGAAGAAATTATGTATGAATAGTATTTCATAGTGTTTTTAAAAAGTTACTACAACATTTATTTTGCACTTTCCAATTACAAATTTCCGACTGTTAACAAGCAAAACCTAATGAATTATCAACCATTTTTTATCAATAAACTAAAATCTTTAAAAAAAAAGTTTTAAATGTTAGATGGAATATACAATTAGATGAAACAATAGAATTCAGATAAGAAAAAAACTAAACCATGTTTGCTAACCGATGAATGTATTTAATTTCTTTTTTTATGCTACTTAATTAAAGCTAAACAATAGTTGGACAGCAAGGTTTCAACTTTACGACATCCAATAAAACAGGTGATGACTTTAAATTTGTAATGCTTAATTTAATATATAAATTCATAAGCTCAGTAGTGATTAATTTTAAAACGTAATTACGTGAATTCTAGTAAGAAGCTGTAATCACTATAGTTCAACTGTCAATTGTGTAGTGATTAGTCATAAATGTCACTGACTAATGATTGTGCAATATTGCAAATCCCTTAAAATTAAGAAAGTAAACCAATAGACCTCAACTCATTGGTAAATAGGTTCAGCGCTCACAGCGAGAGCTGGAAGTCATGAATTCGACTTCTAGTGGGGCCGTGGGTACACATTGCTTATTGATACACATACTCGGATGAAACAGCTGTTTGTTACGTCCTTATTTTCGAAGATTATTTAACTGAGATTAATACATGATGTAAATTACAAAATCCCGTCTATTTTTTATTAATTCTGTTCATACTAACGAAATAAAATGAGTTTCGCAAACAATTCATTGCTATTTGTTTTCCAACAAGATCACTCCTAACAATGTAAAAATATTAGACATAAATGAAATATACTGTACTTAATACAACCGATTAATGAACTGTGTTTATAAAAGTAGACGTATTTAAATGTGTGTTAAATTGTTGATGTATCATAAACAACTTAACTAAGCTGTTATTTTTACTTAAATTTCACTAATTCACACAATTCAAATAATTGAGAAAAAGAAATAAACCATTATTGACGGAAAATAAATCAGTAATCATATATAGTTTTGCGATAGTAAAATCTTTTAAGGCAATTTTTGACAGACTAATATAATCTGGAAAACCATTTAAAAATCAAGATACACTGAACAGCTGTTTTATTCTTGTTTGAAATCTTTTATCCCCTTTCTGCTATCAGTGTCGCATCTGGATTTGTAGATTATATCAGCCCATCATAAAATAAAAAAATATCTACAAATGAAATTAATCACCAAAAACTAAAACTGTTACATACAGAATAATCTGTAGTAAGCGTACCAATATGGAGCGATAAAATCGGTTTAAGGCCTACTGGTTATCAAACTAGAAAAGAACCCATTTTTATATAACTTGTAAATGCCGTTAAGAATGAAAATTTTGGTATTATTGATATTTAATATAAGTTCTGGTCCATAAAAGTAGGATACATATTTACTCTCTAAACTAGCGTTTAAGAAATTCTGTATTTCCTGATAACCGATCCAACTAAAAATACAATATCACTGAATATATTTTCAGTGTATTCGATAATAACACTGCATATAGAGAGTTACAGCCTTGTGAGTGTTTACCTGGAGTTAAGTCAGAGCATGAATTATTACCATTCGATTTCATTAAGACTGATGATCTGAACATTAATTTATTCTTGTTAAAAAACAAAACCTTTAAATTTTCTTTATTTGGATTGCATAACATGAGAAAACCAGTTTACTTATATATATTGCAAACGATATCAAGACAGTTTTTATTTACGCATTTTCACAATGTCAATAACTCTTATGTATCTTGAAATAAATATACATACACTTAGTGATCATGCGTTTTTCTCTTAAAATAAATCAACCTTCAAACCATACAATCCCGTTTCAAACATAACATCATTTCGATTATCAAACAATATGTTTTACTTACCTTGATCACTAAAGACTGCAGGTAAGATAATGCTAACAGCAAGTAATAATATTATAATGTAGTTAAGTTTATGAAACTTTACAGTGGGATTTTTAATCATAACCTCTGTCATTTCAATAATCTATGTAATTGTGTTATGTAAGCATAAGTTTTTTTAAATAATGGAAGCAGATTTATTCATGTAATCGGTTATATTATTTACTTATGTAAACATTTCCTCTGTAACAATACAAATTGATGATTAGCATAGGGAATGAAATACAATCTGATTCACACTGAATTTTTATTATTCTGTTTTTGCCCTTCATTTGATTGGATAATTGGTTTATTCGAATTCCACCAATCCGTTAATGGTATTCTGCTAAGGTCATATAATTAAAATTAGAAAATTAATTAAAACGTGAATTTATATACACAGGCTACACAGTAAATAGGTGTAATTTCCGGTTTCAAAATCAGTCCAACATTTCAAGTGTTGATAAAAGTATTGTGTACGGCAAATTGAAAAGATAATTTTGTTAATAATAAGATAAAATCATTATCAACAGTAGTTGATTGTTTAATAATATTGAAAGCGATCGATAGCACAAATGTAGCCTATACAATTTATGGAATTGCCACTTCTCATTAATACGTTTTACATTATTCACTGCTTAACAAGATTACTTTTTGTTTTAATTCCATAACGGTTAGACCTAGGCCTTATTTAAACACATAAACATCGGTACATGGGAGCACCAAGAATATATGCGCAACACAAACTATTTCGTTTATGTGAGGAATAAGATACTGTCTGAGCACGCAAACTGAAGCATTTTGCTTCTTAAGGGGCCAATTCGCGAGCATTTGATCTAAAGGTCTAATGCACAAGACAGTGGAGCAACGTTAGGAGATGTAGTCCCATGGTAACCGGTGACCAGCAATAAGTTCATACGCCACCTGTTCTCTCAGGATGCCGGAGCCCTTGTTCACCAATAGTTTGGAATCAGGGTTTCGTAACTCCCATAGGTGGAATCTCTGTGTCTACCGACCCGCGTTAAGCGTCGGTCATTCGCTTTTCTTCCTCTCAATTTCGTAACCAAACCCCCATCGTGATAAGGAAGTGAATAGAACTTCTCTGGCACTGGCTGTATACGCGTGGCCATGTGAGAGCATTTAGAGATAGAGAGCTGACTTTCTATACTCTCGGGAACAATTCACATCATTAGTATTATGACCAAATTGACATTTGGTGCTTGTGAGCCATTTTACAATATGATAATGATGTGCAATAAATAAAAGCATCAAATAATCTTAAATTACATATATAACTTTTAACTAGACAAGAATCCATGTTTTTCTGTGTTCTAATTACAAGTCGATTGAATTTAACCATTCATATATAATATGAGAATGATGAACAATGTAAACAGTTTATTAGTTTTTTTCTTGTTTTGATTATTTAATTATTTATCTGCTTTCTTTACAACTAAATGTGGTTTTCTTGATTGTTTTTATTATCGACTGTTGTCATCAACATCATCATCGTCTTGTAGAAAATAAGTATGGAAAGATTTCAGTAACTATCATGAAAACATTATATGTATAGAAACTTTCTTAATTGATACAATCTAAGTTCATAGTACCCTTAATACATATGCATAACTAAATAGAATGATTTACTTAAAGAAATTAAACATAGACCTAGGGTCATTACCTTGAAAATTATGACTGATTTATTCGCTATTAAATTTATAATTTAATAGTGTTGTCATGTTGGTGTCATCTGAAAATTAAACTTTCTAATTTATCGATGCTTATGAAGAAAGATTTAATAACCGGTTATACTCGCTACTTTCACAATTTTTTGCATTTGTGCGATTATAATTATAATTAATTATAGTTCGCTGTTTTCAGTAATCCATAAGCCTTTATTAAACTCATTGATGAATAAAACTACCATTCAAATTCTCAATTTTTATAATGGAACATTTAAATGGCAACAGTTGAAGTAACTGCTATTAGTAGAATACAGTTTATTTGCTAAATTACCTAAATGATTGAGATGATTGAAATAATAGATTTACTCAAGGAAACGATTCCTAAATTCTGAATGAACATTTTTCAGACATCTGGTGGAATATATCAGGTAGTTGATACCGCCATTTATAAACAACATATTCAAAGAGAATAATATGACACATATCAATTATGGAGCAAAAATGCTATCTAAATATATGAGTGAATGAATTTCAGGCCAAAATCCAAGAGTGACTATCCTTATTCCCATTGTTTCGCCCATAGATCGTAGTCTCGCCTAATTCTCTGCAGATTGTGTACACAAATAAAAAAAAATTAATAATATGCATTAAAAAAATATATGTAAGATTAACGGTGTGAGATTATGAGGTTGGTGAATTTCATTAAAATCGTGAACCGTTCTAGATTAGACCACCAATAAAAATCTGAAAGCAATGGATGGCAGTTTTGTCCTAGTATGAAACTCATCAGTAGCGCACAACCACAACCCGCTTCCGAGAGTTAAACCCACGATCTTTGGTTTCGCGCGTGATCTGTCAACCTCTAGATTACTGAGCCACCGTTCAACTTGTATGGACCATGAAATAATTGAATATTCAAAGCTGTTTCGTATCTATAAAATTATTTATTGTTTAAATCAAAAATCTAATAAAAACCTCAGAAAGTTCAAGTTTTAATAATTTAAAATGTTTACTGTGATACCATAGTTTTGTTTGCATAAATGATGAATACTCGCGAAAATTTCATTTAAATACTGAAACCTGATTGTAAAACAGTAAATTAAAATACGCATTACTAATTTCCGGGATTATACTGTTGAAAGTAGAACAACTTTACGTTTATATTCTAACGTCGTTTATAAAAGTTATTGAAAACAAAAGTATGAATGCTCAAATTTATCGGGATTTCAGCACTGAATGCTTAATATCACATATTTGAAACAAAATAAAATAGTTTAGCTAGTGCCAGAAAATTGTCGAAAAACGATTAAAGTTTTCAGAGCTTGATGGTGTTCATGTAATTATGATTAATTTAGTTATTACAATGATTTCTGATTTCAATATTACATGTTTAATATAGCAGATTTTTTTGCATAGATTCCTTGAAGAATTCACTTCAAGAAGTTTTTTCAATCAGCTTAAAGTCTGTATCGTCCAATATTATTATTAGTATCAGTTTATTAACAAAATGTATGTTTCAAAATCAAATCATATTTATGAAAATCTCTTAGATCTAAATAAATTAGCTTCAGTGTTTCAGGAAAATTGAATATATCGTCAGTGTCAATATGGAGATTTTTGAGTTTCATTAAAATCATGAACCGATCAATGTTAGACTACCATTGAAAATTTAAAATAATTAGACGGCCGTTTCGTCATAGTATGGCACTGCTTAAAGGTTTTAAAGAAAAAATCATAAAATATGTGGACCATTCGATTATTAGAAGAGTATGAATGAGCGTAGTATACCTAAAACGTTAATTGAAAGATACGTTTTGTGTATGGTGATCGAGAGTGCTTTAAAATTTATGAAACAAAAATAAATGGAAACTTATTGAAATACAACAAACAATTAATATTATTCATTATATATGTAAATTATATTTGAAATAATCTCAGCGATTGAAATTTAAATAATGCCAACGTTTCGTCCAGCTAACTTGTCTGGACTCCAGCGCCCAATATCTGTCAATTAATATTATTATACTCGGTTAAATCCTGTAATGATGTTGAATAGAATGTTCAAAGCCAAATACGTGAAGTTTGGAAAATTTTGCAGAATAATAGGGACGATTGATTTGCCTTATGGTAAACCATTGTTTATATTTTAACAAGTTCAATGCCTTCATGAAGTGCTGTTATACTTGGTTTAAAAAAAGCGAATATACACATTTGACCAATTATAGCAACATATTTTTACTGAGACTTCATACAAACAGATGGGTACAGTTGATTATCAGAATATTCTTTTATAATTTAGTATAGACTATTTCAGGGCCTTGATAAGGAACTTTATGAAAGAATACCTTGCATGAATTATTTAAAGTTGTGTAACAAAATGATGTAAAACCGGCATAAATCAATAATCATTGATATATATAGTATTGGAAAGAAATCCTGACCAAAAGCTTATAAGGAACAAGAAACAAGCACAGTTTCTATATAATACAACTTTAATTTAGTAAAAATTGATCCGACTTAGATGAAAGTTTGTTTAATGAGTACAATTCTACTTTTTATCAGATGTTTATGTTTTAATGTCATATTTGTACTCAATAAATAAATCACTAAGGATACCTTTCACAACGACCATTGACAATAAAAAAGACCTGGATATTTGTTTCTTTTTACTTTATAATTCAATACTGATACACACATACAAACAGTTAATATAAATTACCTAACTAAACATTGTCTCTTATTTAAATGAGAAGAAATTCTTTTACAACAGGGAGGCGATTGTCTCCAAAATGTGAACATAGAAAATTATGTATTCATAAGATTTGAAACAATAATTTCAAACAAAAGAACAAACTAATCATTTTTAAATGGTAATCTATACAGTTTAAAAAAGCAAAACATTTGTCATCTAAATTAAACTGGATAGAATGAGCAAATTTTCAAATTTAATGTAAAATATTAACAAGTATTCAAAAAAAAATTTATTTTACATAGTAATGTACATCTCATAAGCTGTACATTCTAATGAATAATTAATACTATTCCTGGGCAAAATAGATAGTCTTTATAGAAAAATCCAACAAATACAATTAATTCAATAGTTGACATCATGAGTTAATTTAAGCTAGATCACCATGGAAAACCTGAAGGCACTGAACAGTTATCTTGGATATCATTTTCTTTTTTAAAGATTATTTCAATTTAAAATTAAGTATATGGAGCTCATTTGTGTCTGTGAACAAGTTATGTTAATCTGGTTTTATCTACATTTGGAAACTTTTAATATGAGATTATTAGATTATTTGAATTTTGTTAGTTAAAAACATTTACTAACTGTCAATTAAATGAAACGATTTTGTATGAACATTAAATGAATCCAGATTATATAAACCTTTTAAATGGTAACGTTTTACTGCTTTAAAAAGGATTATAAGTCCATGAAAATGTTATGAAGTTTAATACGCAATTTGATTCTTAGACGTGAAGTAAAACTAAGCTTATTAAAATTGAAGAAGAGAGAAATTGGTTACACAGAAAGCTTCTCTGGATAACTTTCTGTCAGTTAATTTCAAAAAACGTCAAATT